TCGTGGAGGTAAATTTAGTGATTATTTAACCACCATCGCCACCGCATTCTATTGCTATACTATGCACATGGAAGATCTCCAATGTCATCATCTTCTTCATCAGATTAGATCATAAAAATCATCGTCTTCTCTACATTGTACCACTACGCGCAACAAATGGTGCTCCACAATTTGTTCTCTGTTTTATATGTTCCTCGCCGCAATCTTTATATGGTCTTTGCATCCTTTATACCTATTTGTACATGGGTAGGTAAGTAATAATGTTGGTCATCTCAATTTGTTCAGCGCTACAATTCATTCTCTATTCTGTGGTGGATTTGAGGTGGTGGCAGTGGTGGGGTTGGAGTGATGGTTGTGGTGTGGTGGAGATGGAGATTGGCGGCGGCGGCGAGACGGTAGTTGTTGTGAGATGGTGGTAATGTTGGCAGTGGTGGTGGTGGTCTAAGTGGTGGTAGGGTTGGATTGGATTGAATCGTTGAATAAATAGGGTTTGTGACCAATTATTTAGATGATTGTGTTGTGACTAATAAAATGGTTAATTTGTAACTAATAAATAATATGTAATCCTATAGATAATTTGTAATTGAGGAATAATTTGTGACCCATTATTTGATAAATTGTAACCGAAAAATAAATTGTGACTTAAAAAATTTGTGATTTATGAAGAGAAATAATATGTGACCAATTTGCATAGGTCAAAGATTTTTCCTTGTTACAAGTTATAATTCATGTGTCAAATTTCAATGTGTACTTGTTACAAGCCACATATCATAATGTAAGGGTCACATATCAATATTCATGTCATAGATTAAATAGAATTGGTTACAGATCACTAATTTATGTTCACGGGTCATAAGTTATAGTTCCACATGTCATATGTTATAATTTACAAGTCACAAGTCAGCATTTATAGGTCATTGGTCGTTCGCATGTCACAGATCATATTGTATAGGTCACAATGTCAATAGGTTACAAATCAATATTAACTGGTCACAAATCAGATGTCAAATGTCTTTATACACTAATAACAAGTCACATATTCAAGTTCAAGGGTCAAAACGCATATGTTACGATTCACATATCATTTTGTATAAATAACAGATCAATGTCTACATATCACATATTCAAGAGAATTGGTCGCAGACCATTTGATCAATATCACAGGTAACAAATCAATGTTCAAAGATCTCAAATCCAAGAGACCTGGTCACGGGCCATTGGATCAACATCACATGTAACAGTTTACACGCAGTTTAAATCACACCGTAAAAAAATTAAAAATTTACACTGAATATGATGATAAATCAAATATCTTAAACCAAATTTACACTCGCATCGGCAAACCATTTCTTTACGATAGTTTAAATCATTCCACCAAAATCTCATTCCTTCAATCATTCTAATGTTAATCGATTGTCCAAATTGAAGTTTAATTAGATAATCTGTCATTTCTCATCGATGTTTTGCTAAATTAAAAATCTAAACAAGCTGCCCCCCTTGAGATGGTTTACTCATGAATCTCGAATTAGGCGGCTTTTTCTAGATTTGTACTATAACCGTGGTGTGAGAGATGATGGCGGCGGGTGGATTC